TTCAGTGAGGCCTGAGGCTCCTTTTCACAGGGTGGGCACAACATCATTCCATGCTTCTTCCCCCCATGGCATCTCAGATCAGCCCAGGTCCCCATGGTGGCAATGGCAGGGGTAAAGGGTCACTGAGGAATTCAAACTCAGACAGTCATTAAACGACCCCACTTCACACCTCTGGCTTATGTTCCTGGGTGGGGGATGCCAGTCCCTGGTTTGTTAGAATACTCATAGAACCAGGCCTCTGTGGGCAACGGAGAGGGCTCTGAAAATGATGTATCTGTGTGTGTGCGCGCACGCGCGTGTGTGTAAGGGGGATTGTGGGCATAGTCTCGGTACTTTTCTCCAGGTGGAAGCCCCACCTTCTCCAAGGACTGTTCAGGTGTATAGACCAGGTAGGGGCTAAGGCCTGTTGATGCAGGTTTAGATGAATTTCTGAGCTATGCTTTGGGAGCCCAGGAGACAGCAGAGTGACTTGTAGGTGGGAGACCTGCCGGCCCCAGGACTGGCCTCATCTGCTCTGTCCCCTGCCCCTCTGGTCTGCAGAGGGACTCCAACCAAGGTCCCTTTGGCCCTTGACCAGGCAACACTGACTGATCCCTCACAGGGGCATTGGTCTGAGCTTGGGACATAGATGACATCCTTGCTGTCAGTCCAGTAGGGGAGACACAGAGATGACTGGACAGCCAACTGGAAGTGTTCCCTGGGAGCATCAGAGCTGGCAGGGACTTTGGGAAGCAGAGCACAGAATTCTCCTAGGGATGAGGAAGTCATGGTCCAGAGAGGGATGGTGACTTGTCTAGGGGCACATGGCCAATTGATGGCCAAGTGGGACCAAATCTGAGTTTCTTGGGCTCTGTCACACCACGCTGCTTCCCAGTTAACTCAAGTCTGGTGAGGGGGAAGGTAAATAGGGATTGTGCTTAGGCTGAGTTTCTTGGGCTCTGTCACACCACGCTGCTTCCCAGTTAACTCAAGTCTGGTGAGGGGGAAGGTAAATAGGGATTGTGCTTAGGGCTGAAGAATAAGTGAGGCTCTGGGGCATGGGCGTGGAATGATAAAGACTTGGGGGGCCTAGAGCTGCTATTTTCATAGCTTTGGAGACTGGGTACAGAGCAGTGAACTTCCAGGAGTCCTCTTCCCCTCTCCCCATATCAAACCCAGTCTCACAGACTGAGACCAAAGTGATTTCTGATAACCTAACAAAATGCCCTTTTCTTACACTGAGAAGCAGTTTCCAAGGCTGTATTATTGCAATTGAGGTTTATGTGCTTTCCTATCTCTTCCTAAGCATGTAACTGGTAATCTCTCTGTCCTGCGCACTCCTTCCTTGTTCCCCCATTTACTTAATTGCTGTGATCTGTGTTTAATTATCACTTGTGAGGGTGCTCTGTTGCACAGCCCTATTTCCCCTGGTGTGTACTTATTAAGGGCTTGTTTAATGAGAATGCAATTAAGGAGAGGGTGCACAGTCCCACTCAGAGGGAGAAAAAGGAAAGAAGCAGCAAGGAGACTGTGGAGAAGAAGAGAGGAAAGGGGAGAAGTGGAGGGAGTTTGAATCTAGAATCCTGGGTTTGAACCTGGAAAACACGCTTAATTCTCCTTCTGAACCTGCTGGAGGTGCAAGCCTGTGGGGGCACCTGGGAGAGAAGGCTGGAGTCCCAAAGCTCTTTTGACTGGCTCCCTTCTGGTGGGATCAGCATGAGAGGCAGACTGGGCACAGTGGACCATCTTGCCCTGCTGCCAGTCCTCAAGGAGGTATAGGAATCTTTGCATAAGCCAGGGGTGGGCCATGCCAACACAACCTGCTCTCTGGCCTGTAAGAGGAGGGACAGGCATGCTGCTGGGACTTGTTTGCAAAGCTGGTTTCATTGAGCATCCCCTGCTGTCTCAGGGGCATGCTTTCATCCCAGCAAAGCTCCTGGGGGTGGGCAGGAAGCAGGCAGGTTGCCTAGGGAGAGGAAACTGAAATCTTTCCTTTGTCTCTGGGCCCAGGGGCCTTGCCTGGCCCAGCCCTGCCTCCCAAAGCCCCCAGGGCCTGCACCCCAGAAGGGGCCCTGTCCTGCTGGCCTCGGCCCACTTTCTGCACCCAGCTCTAACTTTGAGCCTTTCTAACTCTCCCTGGGCCAGAGTGTATCAGCCTCCCTATTAAAGTCAGCTGTGTGTCCACTCGCCGTGCCAGCAAGCCCTCAGAGCTACACTTAGAGTGGCTACCAGCCTGCCCCTCTTTCCTGCGGTGGCTGTGAGTGATCCCTGGATGTGGGAAAAGGTGGCGGAATGTTTCCTGCCTCCACATTTGCCTTGGGATAAATGGTAGCTGCCATAAGATTCCTGCTGGTGTGAATATTTAATAATGTGATTTGCATGTGCTGAATACTTTTCCACTTTAACAAAAGTGTTCCTGAGTCAGTCCTCAGACAAAACCCCAGATAGGATGGCAGGGGGCCGAGGACTTCAGAGAAGGCAAAGAAAATAGCTGCTCTGAGAGTGGCTAAGTGGATAGGGCCTTTTAGGGAGGAAAAGCAAGGTTTTGGGGTTCAGGATGGAATTCCACGGGATCATGACTGGGAAGAGTTGTTCCTCAAGTCCACAATGCCAGAAAGAGGCTCCCCACTCTCAAACACACACATGTACACTTTAACATTCTAGAATGAAGTTCAGAATAGAGCGAAGCAAGGCTTTCTTTACTCCAGGGAAACGGCCACATGGAAATAAGCCAAGAAGTGGTACAGGGTGAAAATACAGATCAATGTGGGAATGGCCTGGAGACATTCTTGGCTGACACTGGTTATTCAGGGAAGCTAGGGGTGCCCTGGCTACCTGTGATGAGGGATACCCTTGTCCCCTGCTCCCCTTTCAAATACCATCCTCCTCTATCTGCAGGGTGCCCACTCATGGAAGCCCCTCTTGTGTTTTATAATTTCCTGTTTTGGCTTCACACCAACCTTGAGAAGTAGGAAAGAGGCATCCCTGCCCTGGCTTGGGGATATGCACACCGGATGTGGCCCCTCTGACTTTCTCAAGGTCAGCTGGCAGAGTGGGGCCTGCCTTGCGCATGCTCACCAGTCCTCTCCAGGGTTGGTCATCCTGAAGCAGCCCTCGGGGGGCCTTTGTGGACCAACACCTGCCCCTGGTTCCTCCCTCTCCCCCAGAGCAACCTCGTAGGAGACACTGAGTTCAGTGGGAGGCAGGCCCCTCAGCTTTCTCGTGCATGACCTTCCCAGACATAACTGGCCGGACTGCATGACTCCCAGCTGGGACGGCTGTGCACTGAAGAAGCCAGGCTTGCTCCCCCTCTCTGATGCTTTCACTTGGACAGGGCTCTGGACTCTGTGAAACCATTTCTGTCGGTTTTCATTTTCCCCTTCCAGCTACTGAGGAAGTAGCAATGCTTCACTTGCAGAGTCCTGAGTGTATTGGAGTTAAGTCATCCACATAGACGCACACAAATCAGGCAGAAATGTGTACTGTGTCATTAGCCAGACCTTAAAGAAATAGTGTACTCCTCTCTTCTGGACCCGTCTTTTGCTCATTTTTGCTTCTATTTAAAGCAACCAACAAGATTTCCCTTTTTGCATGCATCTTTTGTGCTCTTGAATATCTCTTTCTGGCTGGGGTTGAGGTGGGGAGATTTGGGCACTGATTTGAGTTGCCCCATCTCCTCCGGGACCCTGATTCCTGGACCGGTATGCTGATGAGGAGCAGCCACACTCCTTGGTGCCCTGAGGGAGGCCATTAGCTATCAGGAAGCTGCGTTGTCTGACAGCTTCCCTGTCCACTGCTCTGCATTCACTTCCTGTTTGTGGGGGCTATGGAGGGTGGGAAGCAGAGTCGGTGTCTCCCACCAGAAGGTTCTAGTGCTGGCTGCAGACTGGAGAGTGGGATCTTGTGTCTGGCTTCTGTCCTTGGACCTCTGGGGGAGATGGGGTGGAGGAGGGCAGAGATAAACAGAAAGGCAGGAGTTCTATGGAATGCTAAGCCCTGATCAGTGTTTTCTTGGAGAGCACGGTTGGTCACAGAGTGGTGAAAGGGGGGCTAATATCTGAATGCTGCTTATGCCACTCACTGGGTGTGTGGCCATGAGCAAGGTAATCTCTTTAAGCCTGTTTCCTCATTTGTTTATTGAGAAGGAAAATGTAACTTATAGGATTATGATGAAGGTTAATAATAGTAACCTAAAGGATTATGATGAGACAGTGTATATAAAATACCTCTCCTATCCTATAGTAACTGCTCAGTCTCAAATTCACCATTTACTGTGTGGCCCTGGGCAAGTCAACTTAACCTTTCTGAGCCTCAATTTCATCATATATAAAATGGGAACATTATACATGCCTTTGAGCATTCTAATAAAAGTTGGAGTTAGTATCCACAAATCCTCTGGCACAGTGGTTCTCGGAGTGTGGTCCCTGCTCACAGCATCTCCTAGGAACTTTTTAGAAATATAGAAGCTCAGGTTCCACTCCAGACCTTCTGGATCAGAACTCCAGGGGCTGGGTGGAGCCAGCTGTAGCTGTTCTGTAGGGGATTCTGATGACTCTCAAGTTTGAAAACCATGGCTCTAGAACAAATTCTGGCTGGCCATGAATCCTAGAAGCTGACCAAAAATGAAGGCTAATTGAAATAACTTCCCAGCACTAATCAGAGCCCTGGTGGGCAGATCTGGATCTCGCAGGCAAGTTACCTAACCTCTCCAGGCTCAGTTGTCTCACCTACAATGTGGACCTATAATAGTAGGTGACTCATAGGACAGGTGAGGATGAAATGTGCCTGGCACATAGTAGATGCTCAGTTAATATCAGTTATTACTACTGTCACCAGCAGTGGCTGGATCACGATGGGATTACTGGACCACGGGGAGTGATTTTAGGGCTGGGGGCTATGAGCACTCCACTTTGTCATCAGAAGTTAAGGGCACAGGAAGAAGCTGAGCCGGCAGGGCTGCCAGCTCTCCTTGGAAATCCTTTTCTGTCATTTGAAAAGCATTGCTAAGACGCATTATCATCTGGTGGGGGCAAAACAAGAGGTTTATGATGCAGAACAGGGAATTAAGTTAGACAACACAGGGCCTTCCTGAGAGTGGGGGTGGAAGGTGCCAGTTTGCCCTAGGGACTAGGAGAGGCAGGCATCCACTTCCGGACACCCGCCCCCACCGACCTTGAGGCGAGTGGGGTTTCCTTGAGGCATCTGCAGGACATGGGGTGGGGAGGAGGGGGGGAACCAGGCCCCCTTACAAGGACACGGAGCGGGAGTTTGGAAGCCGTGATCGGAGCGGCCTTGTCCCAGCGGAGAGGGGTCGCATCGGAGTGCTGGGGAGGAGGTTCGAAGCGTGAGAAAGAAGCCTAGGGGCGCTCGGAGACGCACGGGGACGAGGGGGCGGAGTGTGGCAGGGAGGCCGGGCTGCCGGGCTCAGGACGGGACGGCGTGTCCAGCGCCCTCCCCGTCCCGCCCCCGCGCGCGTGCACTTGGGCTGGCCGGGAATCCTTCCCCAGGGTGGCTTCTGCCTGTGACTTTCCCACCCTGGCTGCGCCCGCGCGCCCCCGCGGCTGCCCAGCTCCAAGACCCGCGTTGGTCCCCACCTGCGCCGTCCGTCTTCCTGCGGTTCCCAGGCTCCCGTTTGGCGGCCAGAGGGCGTCGGACTCGGCTGACCCAGGGAGGTCCAGCCCGAACGTGTCCTTCCGCCTCTCAGCCCCTGGGGGCCAGGGAGGAGCCTCCAGTACCGGGGAACGAGAGGCTGCTGGACGGCAGCCCGGGACTGCGGCGGCCGCGTTTCTCTTCCTCACCTTACGGGACCCGGCTCTTCCCCCGCCTCGACCGCCCCGCCCGCCCCGCCCGCCAGTCCTGAAAACCTGGCGGGAGGTGCGCACTGTCCTAGGGGAATTCCCCTGCAAACAGAAGGGAGCCCGCCCTGCGCGTCCTGGGGTGGGTGCGACAGGAGCGCTTCCAGGCACTGCGTCCCCAGGTGGGGGGCGGAGCGGGCGCGGTTCGCGGCAGCGGCCAGGCCTTCGTTTCCTTGGGTTGGGGTGACCCCTGGTGGTCATCCAGAGCGCCACAAGGGCTACTCCCTGATCCAGAATTCAGTCCTTTCCAGGGGAGAAATGGAGAATGATGGAGGGCAGCCCAGACGGTGTTAATTGGAGTAGAGAGCCATCCTCCCGAAGTTGGGACGGAGGGTGACAGAGACCTCCCTGCTGGCCAAGTCACTCCGCCCTGTCCGAGCATCCCCTTCCAGAGCTCCAGGCTGAGGTTTTGGTGGGGTTTTATTAAGGAGGTGGTGCTCCTTACACAGGCCTCTTCCTGCTCCCCGTAACCCTGTCGCTGGAGGTGTCTGTGGGAAAGGCCACCAACATCTACGCTGTCAACGGCACGGAGATCCTGCTGCCCTGCACCTTCTCCAGCTGCTTTGGCTTCGAGGACCTCCACTTCCGGTGGACCTACAACAGCAGTGACGCATTCAAGATTGTAAGTATTTGGAGGAAGGACAGTACAGCCTAGCCTCCCTTACCCATGCCTCCCCTCCCAGGCTCTGGTCGCTTCTGGACTGAGACCCACTGCAATGGTCCCCAGAACCTTTTGCCACCCTTTCTCCCAGTATTCTTTTCAGAGCCTGCCAGGAAGAATGTGACTGGGAGAGATGCATAGATCGTGTTGCCAGCATTCGGGGACTGTTGGAATTCTTGGCTAGAGTCCTCCCTCTGGTCTTAAGAAATACCCGGAGCTTGGACTGCTTGTCTAAAAATCAATAGTTTAGTCTAACAAACAGGAGAGAGAAAGGCCTTGGAAAGCTTGGAGAGAGGGAATGAGAAGAGTCTAAATGAGGCTGGACTGGCAGGGAAAGGAGAGAGGAAGGGAGAGAGGAGGGAGAGCTGCAGGATCATTGGTGGGGCTGCGATGGGAGTGGGAGTGAACCAATCAACAGGTATTTATTGAGTACTCACTCTACAATCTAGTGGGGGATCCAACCTGAGACTTTCACAGGGAAGCCACAAGAGACCAACTCTGGTTATAATTAAATGCTGACCTCAGAGGGTGCTGACGGGCAGAGCTGTAGGATTGATCCAGGTCTTGATAGAGGGCCAGAATTCAGATGCGCATGGTGTCAGCAGAGGCTGGGTGGGAGGTGACAGAGGGAAATGAGTGCGGTGCTTGCAGGAGTCATTACATAAAAGGCTTTTATGAAGAGAGCGGTAAGAGCTGTGCTGCATTCCAGGGAGACCTTAATAAAAGGAAATGGGTTTAGCCTGAAACAAGCAAAATTCAGGTTAAACAGGCAGAGCTATTGACGCTGGAAGAGGAAACTGTGGGGGGAAGGAGCAGGGTGTGACTGCAGGCTCTTCCTGGTCCTGGACAGGGAAGGTACTCAAGGAGTGGACTGGTGTGATGTCATGACCCTTGAGGACCCTGATTCTTTCTTGGCCACCTTCTCTCTCCAACGCCTTTCCTCCACCAGCTCATAGAGGGGACTGTGAAGAATGAGAAGTCTGACCCCAAGGTGACGTTGAAAGACGATGACCGCATCACTCTGGTAGGCTCTACTAAGGAGAAGATGAACAACATTTCCATTGTGCTGAGGGACCTGGAGTTCAGCGACACGGGCAAATACACCTGCCATGTGAAGAACCCCAAGGAGAATAATCTCCAGCACCACGCCACCATCTTCCTCCAAGTCGTTGATAGACGTATGCAGTAGGGGCTGGTACAGGGCAGTGGAGTGGGAAGGACTTGGGGGGCACCCAACTCAGCATTACAGTGAAATGGCAAAATGGACTGTGTTGGTGTTTTCTTTTGCTTTACACTTTCCAGAGTTGCTGGAGTTACATCTAAAAGCTAGAAGAGCTCAGCTTGAACACTTAATTCTGCTACCAAATAGCTTATGAAATACTCTTAGCCTCTCTAAGCCTCGTTTTCCTCATCTGTAAAATGGGAATATGACTGCATTTTCCTGGAGTTGTGGTTAGAGAAGCTACATGTGAGTGTTTTGTGGCTAGTAAGGTTTTCTCCATGTATACTGATTATTAATACCATTGGGTATTCCATTAGCAAAAATTGATTGAATGTCATGCATTGGACTAAAAAGTGCTGTGAGTGATACATCACATTCTTCCTTGAGGAATTCACAGTACAACGATAGAGTGGGGATTTTTGAAGAAAGTGAGAGAGGAGCCATGAGGGCGTCTTTGGGAAGACAGGGAGGGAGCAGTGAGTGCAAAGGCCTTGAGGCAGATGTGTGAAGAATCACAGCAGGCTAGTGCTGGAGCAGGGCAAGGAGTGAGAGATCAGTCAGGTGAAGCCAGATTGTGTAACCACCTTACTGGAAGGGTGAGTGAGGTGGGAGCCACTGGGAGCAGAGGAGTTAAGGCCTGAACAGGTTCACTCAGGCCCCTGTGCCAAGAATAGATAATAGAGGGAGGAGATCAGTTAGGAAGCTATTGCAGACATCCACGCAAGAGGTGGCTTGGGCCAGGGCCAGGGGGATTGTGAGCCATCAGATTCTGGAAATTTATAAAGTTAGAGCTGTCAGGATTCTCAGGTAGATTGGATAAAGGGTTTGAATAAAAGGCATTGAAGAAGACTCCAAGGATTGTGGTTATAGCGATTGGGAGGATTAAGTTGTTCTCAGTAAACAGAAAAATAATCAAACATATTGACTGGGAGCATCATCTGTGCATGAATATTCAGAAGCAAACTCTGTTGATTGGCCTTGTTATGTATTCAGCATTTCAAGGTGACTCCAAGATCGAACTGTTTTACACAGAAAGAACCACCCTGGAGGAAGCCTAGATTACACTCATTTATTAAATCATTTGGTTATCCAGTCACTCATTTATTTGGAGGAATTCAGCATGTTCCTCTCTATTTACAAGATCTGGTTCAGTCCGATTCGGTCCAGTCTGATCCGGTGTGGTCCAGTCTGATCCAGTTCGGACCGGTCTGATCTGGTCTCGTCAGGTCTGGTCCGGTCTGATCCGGTTCGTTCCGGTTCGGTCAGGTCTGATCCGGTTCAGTCCGGTCTGATACGGTTCGGTCCGGTTCGGTCTGGTCTGATCCAGTGCGGTCCAGTCTGATCCGGTTCGGACCGGTCTGATCTGGTCTCGTCTGGTCTGGTCCAGTCTGATCCAGTTCGTTCTGCTTCGGTCCGGTCTGGTCCGGTTTGGTCCGGTCTGATCCGGTCTGATCTGGTTTGATCCGGTCTGGTTCGGTCCGGTCTGATCCGGTTCGGACCGGTCTGGTCTGGTTTGGTTCGGTCTGATCTGGTTTGGTCTGGTCTGACCCAGTCTGATCCGGATCCATCCGGTTTGACCTGGTCTGATCCGGTTTCACCCGCTTTGATCCAGTTCGATCCGGTCTGATCCGGCTCGATCCGGTTCGATCCGGTCTGATCCGGTTCCATCCGGTTTGATCCAACCGGTCTGATCCGGTTCGATCGGATTGATCCAGCTTGATCTGGTTCGATCCGGTTCCATCCGGTTTGATCCGGTCTGATCTGGTTTGATCCGGATTGATCCAGTTTGATCCGGTTCCATCTGATCCGGTCTGATCCGGTTTAATCCAGTTTGATCCGATTCCATCCGGTTTGATCCGGTCTGATCCGGTTTGATTCGGTCAGATCCGGTTTGAACCGGTCAGATCATTAGGTTTGATCCGGTCTGATCCGGTTCCATCCAGTCTGATCCGGTTTGAACTGGTTTGATCCGGTCCCAGTTTGAACCGGTTTGATCCGGTCAGATCCGGTTTGAACCGGCTTGATCCGGTCTGATCCGGTTTGAACCGGTTTGAACCGGTTTGATCCGGCTTGAACCGGTTTGATCCGGTCTCATCCGGTCTGATCCGGTTTGATCCGGTTTGATCCGGTCTGGTCCGGTTTGAAGATCCGGTGTTCCATCCGGTCTGATCCGGTTTGATCCGGTTCCATCCGGTCTGATCCGGTTTGAACCGGTTTGATCCGGTCTGATCCGGTTTGAAGATCCGGTGTTCCATCTGGTCTGATCTGGTTTGAAGATCCGGTGTTCCATCTGGTCTGATCCGGTTTGAACCGGTCTGATCCGGTTTGATCCGGTTTCATCCGGTTTGAACCAGTTTGATCCGGTCTGATCCGGTTTGAACCGGTTTGATCCGGTCTGATCCGGTTTGAGCCGGTTTGATCCGGTTTGAACCGGTTTGATCCGGTTTGAACCGGCTTGATCCGGTCTGATCCGGTTTGAGCCGGTTTGATCCGGTCTGATCCAGTTTGAAGATCTGGTGTTCCATCCGGTCTGATCCGGTTTGAACCGGTCTGATCTGGCTTGATCCGGTTCCATCCGGTCTGATCCGGTTTCATCCGGTTTGAACCGGTTTGATCCGGTCTGATCCGGTTTGAACCGGTTTGATCCGGTCTGATCCGGTTTGAACCGGTTTGATCCGGACTGATCCGGAATGATCCGGTCTGATCCGGTTTGAACCGGTCTGATCCGGTCTGATCCGGTTCCATCTGGTCCCATCCAGTTTGATCCGGTTCCATCCGATCTGATTCGGTTTGAACCGGCTTCATCCGGTCTGATCTGGTTTGAACCGGTTCGATCCGGTCTGATCTGGTTTGAACCGGTTCCATCCGGTCTGATCTGGTTTCATCCGGTTTGAACCGGTTCGATCTGGTTTGAACCGGTTTGATCCGGTCTGATCCGGTTTGAGCCGGTCCCATCCGGGCTGAACTAGCTTGATCTGGTTTGATCCGATTTGAACTGGTCTGATCTGGTCTGATCCTGTCTGGTCCAGTTTGATCCGGTCTGTGATCCGGTTTGATCCGGTTCGATCCTGTGTGATCCGGTTCGATCCGGTGTGATCCGGTTCCATCCAGTCTGATCCGGTTTCAACCGGTTTGATCCGGTCTGATCCGGTTTCAACCGGTTTGATCCGGTCTGAACCGGTTCGATCCGGTTTGATCCGGTTCCATCCAGTTTGATCCGGTTTGATCCGGTTCCATCCGGTCTGAACTTGATCCGGTTCCCGGTTCGTTCCATCCGGTTTGATCCGGTTCCATCCGGTTCGATCCGGTTTGAACCGGTTCCATCTGGTTCCATCCGGTTCCATCCAGTTTGATCTGGTTCCATCCGGTTCGATCCGGTTCCATCCAGTTTGATCCGGTTCGATCCGGTTCCATCCAGTTTGATCCGGTTCGATCCGGTTCCATCCAGTTGGAACCGGATCCATCCGGTTCCATCCGGTTTGATCCGGTTTGATCTGGTTCCATCCGGTTTGATCCGGTTTCATCCGGTCTGATCCGGGTTGAACCGGTTTGAGCCGGTC